TTTTATGGTTGTATTGACTTTTAAAAAACATTAAAATTAATCGTCTAAAATTATATGATTGATTGCCATATGTTATTTTCACAACCAAATTTAATGGTTATGCAAAACTTCTATAACCAAAATAATTGGTTTCTATAATGATGTAATTGGTTGATAAAGGTAAATTTCCCAACCAAATTAAATGGTCGCCGATAACACTTGAATGAATTCTCTTTCGTGTCCAAAAATATTGGTAGTCATTAGTATTTTAGGCGACCAATCACATATGTTTTGCCACCAATGATTGAAACCTATTACAACCAGAACAAATGGTCGCAAAAAATTAAAAATTTACCATAGGCAAAATTGGTTGCGATTGCTTTCCTTTTCACTACCAATCACAAATTTGGTTACGATAGGAATTAGGAACACGGTTATAACGACCAACTCTGCTACCAATATATTTTGGTCACCAAAAAGTATCAATGACCAATTTTCTGATATTAGGAACTATTTTCTTTGGTTGCAAAAAGCCTTTTTTATTGTAGTGGCATCACACAAGGGCTATGGTCCTATAAATAGGAACTGTCATGCATTAGGGCTGGGAAAATAGACCAGACCGTTAGAAAAACCGTGGTCCAAACCGTACCGCACAGTTTGGTCCGGACCGTAGACCGTGAAGTATGGTCTGGTCTGGTCCATGGTCTGTATTATTTTATGATTTAATCTCTTGGTCTGGTCTGGTCTAGACCGCGGTTTACCAGACCAAACCGTGGACCCAACTGACTTGTCAATACGTGTTAACAGCCCATTCGACCACTCTCCAAACTCCCACAACGACACCCAAGTCTCATCCTTAATTTTGTGAATCTCTTCCCTCCGTCATTCACAACCACATTTAACTAGAGAGTAGAGATAATAGTGTCTCCATATGACATTATGTTAATGTTTATAACGTTATGGTGCAAGCTGGGATGTTTTTACTTTGTATCTTTGTTATGTACTAAGATTTAGAGTATCAAAATTATTCATGCATGTTAGGATTAATGTTTAAGGCAAATAACAATTATTTTTCTTGGTTATTGGTTCAATTTTTTGTGTGGTTGACTAAACAAATTATTTATTTTTCGTTGAGTGTGGTCTATCTGAACCAGACCAAACCAGACCGCACAGGCGTGGTCTGGACCGGACCGTATAGTCTGTGGTCTATACTTTAGTCTCTCGGTCTGGACCATAGACCGTATATATGGTCTGGTCTGGACCAGACCACACCGTTTCCCAGCCCTATCATGCATTGCTGGTACCTCCAGCGATCCCAGCAACGCAGTCATTTTTACTTGATCGCTTCTATGATCAGTGATTAATATTAATAATTGCCTTTTACTTGCGCAATATAGCATTTCTATTCACTTTAACACCAGCAAACTACACCAAACTGTAGTGGTTTGGAAATTTTGGTGTTTTATAGTGGGAAATTTTATTAGCCACTCTAATAGTTTGGAAAAATATACGTAGAGTGATGGCGCTAGGGAAAGAAAAAAAAGTAGGCCAATACTATAGTGCCGCAATAAAAACTGCGGCACCGGTGACGCTGATTATAATTGGACCACGTGGAGCTGATGTGTCATTGACTGGATCTGTTTAACCCTAATTCAAACCGGTGCCCATGAGAATGGGCCTAACCGCTAGGTGACCTATACTGACGGAAATGTCTCAGCCGTTTTGCACTGTTTCCAATCAATTCAGTAAAATTAATTTATTTTAATTGAATTTGTTTTTCCGAAACAGTAAAATCGAACGAAAAGGCACACTAGAAGGTCGTCTTCCTCGATCTGGCGTTCCTTCTCCGGCGAACTTCATCGTCGACGATCCAAACTCGAGTATGGAAATTACGCCGAAATAAACCATCTTATTCCTCCTCCTATTCATTCTATAAAACAAAAAGACCAGTCCCTGTGTCTGAGCATCCCTCTGTCTCCGAGGTACTCTGTCGGCAACGTTCAAGACGATCCGTAGTCGTCCCTGTCGCTCTTCGCGGGCGCCCCCTTTATTGGAATCAACGATACTGAATTCGAATTTTGTTGGAAGGGCGTAGTGACTCTCCACAACGACTACAACCCCTTCCCGGTAATTCGAGTCGTAGTAGATGGAGCAACTAGGATGATGATTCATGTCATTTTGCTCCTGAATTCGTTGTATTTCTCTGTTGCCTCATTGATCTTTCTCTATTATCGAGCAGCAGAGGATTGTTGTTAGGATAATAAAGAGTGTGGCTGTAGGCTTCATGATCTATTAGATGAGATGCAGAGATATCCTACATTCAATGACAAATTCTCAGTTTTGTGAGAATCTTCCTGGCGTTCCTCTAGTGTTGTAAGCTAAAATTGTCTGTTTTTCTTTTGCAGGAGAGACAAGGCGCCATGTTCAAATTGGTGGAGGAAAAAGTTGACCTTATTCTAGTTGTTGGTGGATGGAACTCAAGCAACACGTCACATCTTCAAGAAGTTGCTGAGCTCCGTGGAAACCCTTCATACTAGATCGACACTGAACAGAGAATAGCAAGATAGCCTTCAAGTTACACTTAGTTGCAGAAAAAACACCCACTGCATCCTCGTCCCATCCTTGCTGGAGTACAATATTTATTTCCAGAAAGACAACTTTCTAATATCCTTATTCGTCGATTTGGTTCATCACTTCCTAATCTCCTGTTGTTTTATAATAGCATGGGGAATTTATTGATAAAGACAACTTCTACCAGAATGACCAATTACCATCAGCATAACCTCAGGTGCTTCCACCCCAGATAAGGTAAACATTTCTTGCCTATGATCCCTAAACAATGCTGAAAATTATGTTTCGCCACTATGCACTGATGCCGGGATTATATGGCTTCTGTCTATAAAACTAGGTGGTAGAGGATGTTCTTAAGAAAGTTTTCGAGATCAAGCGCCAAGAAGCCCTGCAGGTGGCATAGACGTAGATGCTTCGTTGTAAATATATATTCTGCGTCATGGGAACACGAGTTAATTTCATTGGCAAGTTATTTTTGTTGTACTACTTACTTAGTAGTCGAAAGGTTTTGAAGGGTTGAATGCTGTAGCATGATACCTCTCAGAACTTGCGACGCTAAAAATGAGCTAGCACGCAACGAATGTCTCTAGGCACCTCCAAGGAACTTTGCGTTCCATTTTCACGATTCCAACAGGGAGGGCGCAGAGGGAGGGAATGGAAATGGGATCGGCGAAGGAGAAGCAGCCGGAAGTGCTTTTGATTGGCGGCCGGAGATGGAAAACGAGGAAGACTGAAGACGAACGCAGTGCTTTTCAGTATTGTTTTTTTTAATTTTTTCCTCTTTCTGGAGAAACAAAAGATCAAGCAATACATTTTTTTTTTTGTTAAAGGCATTAATGGAAACAAACTCAAAAAATAACGAATTAAAGAGGGTAACGCCACTAAGTTGCATTCTCCGTCATTTTGGGCGACTGGATCGCATCGGGCCGGTTCATAAAGGCATTTGGTTTGGGCTGGATTCATAAATCCGATAAGTGCCACGTCATAGCCACATGGACCAATCAGAAGTTGAGGCATCGGTGCCGCACTTTTTATAGCGGCACCGTAGTATTGGCCAAAAAAGTATCGCGGAAGAGGTCTAAAAGAAAGCCCAAGGGTGACGATGCATCGGGTAACCCAGTAGGACGTTGGAGCGGGAGAAAACCAGAAGACATAAACGGCCCGTTCTCCATTGGGCCGGCTTGGATGTAACTTGGTTGGGTGCGGTCCAATGTTATTTGGGTCCAGAATTGAATCAAACATATGTAAGTCAGGTCTACTAATGATTCATTCTGCTACCACAAAAAAAAAATTTGATTCATTCAACGTAAGTACATAACAATACATTATTGCAATGTGGTTATTTGGGTGAAATCTAATTTAGCAGTTACATATGGGTATTTACATCTGACCAACATAACAATATATTATTTTTTTTATATAATCTACATCGTAATGTTATCAAAAAAATATTCTATAAACATATTCACAAATATTCATAAATTATCAGATGATTATGTTTATACTATCTTAAAAATAATAATAACATTCACAAATTACCATGGGATTATATTTATATTATTATAAAGAATAATAATATTCGTGAATTATTTATATTGTTTTGATTATATACAAAATGTCCTCATTTTGCTTTTGGATGCAGGTATGGTGGAAAATGAATTGAAATTTTTCAAAACCCAACCTCCACCTAGCACACAAATTTAAAAAACAAATAAATCTCATTGTTATAAGAACCGAACCGGATCAACGGATGGGCCAGTAGAGCCATCAAACCAGTTAGGATAGCAGTTCGGTCCATTGCTTGGACGGTTATTGATGGACCAAACGGTTTTTCATGGTTCAACATAAAATCGGATGAACCACCACAGTTTAACTGGTCCACTTTGTTCACCATAATTTTTTTAACTACTTTAACATAAACTAAGACCATCAAACTAGAATTATTAATTTTATTTATGCTACCTCTTCTCATTTTCCAACCTCGTTGACTTTACGTGGTACACTACCGGCTAATTTTTAACTTGAATTTTTAAAAAAATTAGGATTTCTTTTGTAAGACAGTTTGAATGATTTGTTAGACATTTTGGTGATGATATGAATTTGAAAATTGTTTATGGTCAATGATAACTTCATTCTTAAATTAGTGTATTATACAAGTCCTGTATTGTTATATATCATGAACGGCTCTATGAACTGTTAACCTACAATTTCATAACGGTTAATTATTGAACCCTAAACCACTAACTTTTTCCGGTTGAGCGTCCAATATAAATCAACATCCAACTGAAAACTAATCAAAACTAAATTCTATCGAGTATAACCGAGTTGGATCAGATCGAGTACCCGTAGGTTGGGGTCAATTGGAATTCGCAATCCCCACGGGCTGCAGCTTAGTCAAAACGGGAAAGACTAAAGAGAGTGATTACTGATTAGTGAACCATTGTCCTCAGTTTCTCATGTGGGACTGGGAGCTTTGGCGATCGCACTTTCCATTTTATCCTTTACTGGGGAAACTGCTGCTGCCTCGTGCAACTTGGGCTGGAACACCACAACAAGAACAAAAATACTCCGCCGGACCCGAAAAGTAAACCCAATCCATGAACGGGAATCGGGAACCCCAATAACAGTCCTCTCCCCACTTTTCTTCACTCCTTCAAAAATCTCGCTCTGTGGTGTAATTACTGCTTCAGCTACTACTCCAGGACGCCCTGTAATGGCGTCTTTCGCCATTGGATCACATCACCTGAACCCATTCCGCCAATTCAAGAAACACTCGCTCCATCCTCCCTTATCTCCCGCTTCTCCGCCACCTTCGTTTGGCCCTTCCCACTGTAGATTTCGAGGTTCAACTCGGTTCGGCGGTGGGTTGCTGGTGAGAGCAGAGGATAAGGCTAGGGACTCATCCTATTCGTCGCCAATTCAGCAGAGGACTCAACAGCTCCAGGTACTTTATGTCACCATTAGTTTTCTCACAATCTTACATTTCTATGGCAACCCAATTTCTCAATTTTGCTGCTTGGTGGATTATCTTTGGCTAACCCTCGGTTGCAAGCTTGTCCTTTAATAGCTCCTTATTAAAGGAAATGGCAAAGTTGGAGGCTTTACTCGCAGACTTGAATTATTAGTCATTTGTGTCATACTGCCGCTGTATAGGGAGGAAATGCATGCTGTTAAAAAATCTTCCATGTTCAATGTAACTTGCAAGTATTCAAATTGGTGGTTGGTTATCTTGCATTTCATCAGGATTTCACAGAAGAATCGGGGAACTGTGATCCTATATGTTCTGTTGATGAAACGAGTTCACAAGAATATGAGGCCAACTACCAGCCCAAGACGGACTTGCTGAAAGCTTTTGCAGTTGTGGGAACAGCTTTAACTGGAGCTGCGGCGATTAATCATTCGTGGGTGGCGGCGAATCAGGTAAGGATTGTTTGTTTAAGTCATTGTCTATTGGAAACTGAAGCATGAACTTCTCTGTTTAATATTAAGGTTTGCTCTATTTGATAATCGTGGCTTTTGCGGATACAGAATCTTGCTATGGCATTGCTGTTTGGAATAGGATATGCTGGCATTATCTTTGAAGAGTCTCTTGCCTTCAATAAAAGTGGGGTGGGATTACTGATGGCTGTGAGCTTATGGTCCGTTCGAAGTATTGGAGTGAGTTTTGCTTTCTCTGCAGAATATATTGTTTTCCATTTGTCAGTCACCTACATTTTTTGTTAATGTTTCTTCTATATGTTATTAGTCATTTTACTGTAAATAAGAAATCTGCTATCCTACATCTAGGAAGAATAAAAGATGCAACCTTACTTTATGAGAATTGCTTTTAGTTCATGCATTAGATGAGCCGTTTATGAAACATTTCGGCAAGCTAAGTGTTGAATTTATTCGATTTGAAATTACTTGAATTTATCAAACTGTTTGATTCAATAGTATTTGAGTCCAAATAGACATGCCAATCCATCTCACTAGTGTATCTCAACTTTAGGTCCCTGTATTGATCCACCATAAATGTTATTATGTTAACTCGTAGTCTACTACTCACTATCACATACAACTATTACATCATGGCAAGTATTCATTGTTTGTTCTTTGATTTTCTTGAGCAGGCTCCTTCAGTTGATATTGCTGTCTCGGAGCTTCAACATGCATCAGCAGAAGTTAGTGAAATAGTCTTTTTTCTGCTTGGTGCAATGACAATTGTGGAGATAGTCGATGCTCATCAAGGATTTAAGCTAGTCACTGACAATATAACAACTCGAAAGCCACGCTCTCTGCTTTGGGTGGTTAGTGTCATGTTCCTGTTCCATATACATTTCTGGGTTCCTTAGCGAACAATTGTCAGAAATAGTCTACTGATTCACCATGCGTTCATTTCAGTTCAGTCATTCTGTATTTGTGTTTGACTGTTGTGTTTTTAATTATGCAGATTGGCCTAGTAACATTTTTCCTGAGTTCAATCCTTGATAACCTGACATCAACAATTGTCATGGTTTCTTTACTGAGGAAACTTGTGCCCCCCTCAGAATACAGGAAGTATGTTGCTAGCCAATGCTTTCTTGTGATGTTATGTAGCATTTCTTTATATGTTGCTCAGAAAAATGTTATTCTACGTCACAGTTTGCAGCAACCATATATAGTCTTGTTGCATTTTGTATATTCTAGTATTGCTCGGCTCATGCGGATAACTTTTCATCCTATTTTATCAGTTAAAAATCAAGAACTACCTTGCAGATGTCTTAAGTTTCTTGATTTTGGATAAAGGAGAGAATTGAGGAAGTAGAATTGTTCACAATTGTTTCAATTCGCTAAATCGTTTTATACAAAATTCTGTGATTAACTTATTAAAAAAAAAAATCTGTGATTAATAATTGAGATACGCCAATAACTGAGCGTAATATATTCTCATGCAGCTTTCTGTCTGTACAGGCTTCTAGGAGCAGTTGTTGTGATTGCAGCAAATGCTGGAGGTGCTTGGACTCCGATTGGTGATGTTACCACCACAATGCTATGGATCCACGGTCAGATTTCCACATTGCCGACAATAAAGGTTTTCTCTTTTATCCTTGTTTTTAAATGAATTAAGGTTTCCCCTTCTACCAGTGCAAGGGTCTTCCCTTTTGTTTAGCTCTTGTAGAAGTTCTCATGACCTCTATTTTCTTGCTTCAGGACTTGTTTATACCTTCAGCGGTTTCTCTTGCTGTGCCCCTTGCACTTATGTCCCTGACCAGGTATCCTTCTTGCACTCTTGGAGAATTCAGTGACCAGATTCCCATCAGGTTCTGTCTTATCACTCTTAGATGAAAATGATATTGGTTTGTCTTGTTTATACAGTGAAGTTAACGGAAAGGGACAGGATGCTGCAGATGTCATGCCATCTGAACAGATGGCTCCTCGAGGACAGCTCGTATTCTCTATCGGTGTTGGAGCTTTGATCTTTGTTCCTGTTTTCAAGTCCCTAACTGGGCTGCCTCCTTACATGGGAATGCTTCTTGGGCTTGGAGTTCTCTGGATTGTCACCGATGCCATTCATTATGGCGAATCAGACCGCCAGAGGTTGAAAGTACCCCAAGCTTTATCACGCATCGACACCCAGGGTGCCCTTTTCTTCCTCGGTATCCTTCTCTCTGTCAGCAGGTATGGGCATCAGCATTTGAGAAAGCTATTTTCATGTTTGTACCTGATGGCCGATCCTGTTCCATTCTTTAAAACAAGTCAGCTTTTGTATCCAAGGATCATATAATTGTCGTGCAAATTATCAGGATCAATTAATAGTGGAATCATGCATTTCTTTCTTCCAGTTTGGAGGCAGCCGGGCTTCTTCGCGAGCTAGCAAACTATCTTGATGCTCATATTCCGAACTTTGAGCTCGTGGCGAGTGCGGTGGGAGTCGTGTCTGCAATCATCGACAACGTCCCCCTAGTTGCTGCAACAATGGGAATGTACGACCTGACCTCTTTTCCCCAAGATTCAGAGTTCTGGCAGTTGATCGCTTACTGCGCTGGCACTGGTGGATCCATGCTGGTCATTGGCTCGGCAGCTGGAGTTGCGTTCATGGGGATGGAGAAGGTTGACTTCTTCTGGTACTTGAAGAAGGTAACTAGCTAAAAAACAACAACACATCCATAGTCCAAGTGAATTGGACGATTCTCACATAACTCAATTCTTGATTGTGTTACAGGTGAGTGGCTTTGCTTTTGCTGGCTATGCCGCTGGAATTGTTGCATACTTGGCTGTTCATAACCTGAACCTTTCGCTACCCACGACACTGGCCGAGGTCCCATTCCTGTCAGGTCCGTAAGATCCGAGGCTCTCCTGAGCTCCGATCTTTACACAAAGTGCGACATTCCTTTCAACATAGATCCTGCTGAGGACCAAGGAATGTTGTTAATGGTGATAATAACGCAATAAGGTGCTTGGATCCCTTTTAAGTTGTATGTGCATCTAAAGCATAGTGGGGATGCTAGTCTAGGGCTCTAGGCCCTGCCTGCTTTTTACCCTTCGGAGAAATTCAGTGGAGTTGGTTGTTCATGGCTGGCAGGGATCATTACAGACTGTAGATCATTTAGAAGCAAGTTCAGCAAGTGTTGTTATTTCATCAGTTGTAGACTGTAGCGAGATGTAGTTTTTTTGAAGCAAAGGTGCTGCTCTGTTGTAATAAAAAAAAAAGGTATAATGGCAATAAAAGTGACTCTACTTCCTCCAGACTCCAGTTATATAAAAAAGGAAAATCAGGAGTGCCTCAATAAAAGTACATGCTGCTCTAAACCTCAGATACCATACTACAGAGCAAGCCAAAAACCAAATTCATGCAATCAATCATACTCTTGAGACCCAAATCCAACTGACTACTAGCAATAGCACAGGAACAAAACTGTCACAAATTTCACAACAGCCCGAAAAGCTATCATAACTTGAGGAAAACGATTTCCTCAACAGCCGGGATTTCACCAATCCTCTGCAGACTCTCCTTGCTCGGCTGGTCATCCACACCAATTGCCATCACAGCTTGCTTTCTGGGAGCGATCCTACCGACGCTCATGAAACTGACGTTCACATTCTCCTGCCCCAGTATGCTCCCCACTTTCCCGATCATCCCGGGCTGATCCACCTGTCGGCAAAGTATAATGCTGCCTTCCAAGCTGACGTCGACCTCAAACGACCCCACCCTTGTCAGATGTGGGACTCCATCTTTCACACGTCCTTCGACCCTGATCTCCCCGGTATCAGAAATAGCACTGGCGAACTTGGATTCCACATTGGCGATTTGGACCTGGATGGAGTCCAGTGGTGCCTCGGGAGATCCATCTAGAAGGATGCGCTCCTCAGTGATCCTCACTCCTCTTTGTTTGGCAGTGAAGTCTGCATTGACCAAGTTCACGAAGACGCTGGATATGGGCTCGATTATGCCCTTGGTGATCATGGCACGCAGCACCCTTGTGTCAAGGTCATCGGGGGCTCTAGCAGAGGCATACGTCACTTTAACGGATTTGACACCGCTTCCTCCAGTTACTAGCTGGACAGCCAAACGACCAAGTTTCTCAGCGAGTATGACATATGGTTTAAGCTCTGATAGCACCTGTTGGTTGGAAAATGAATAGACAAATCATTTCCTTGCAACTCTCGTCCATGATTTACTAAGGAAATAACTAAATTTGATACGGGAACAGCCATACAAGACATGGAATGGAACGCTGAAAAGAACCAAGTACCTCGGCAGGCACCATGGGTGCATTGACTGCAGTAGAAGCAAGCTCACCCTTCAAGGCTCCAACAACAGCTTCAGCTATTTCAATAGCCACTCCTTCCTGATCATCCGAACATTGGGATCAAAGGGAGAAAAGAACATGAAATGATGAAGAGTTTACTATTGGGTTGTTGAGTAAAGCATACCTGAGCTTCAACAGTACTAGCACCAAGATGAGGCGTCACGATCACATTCTCATGCTGCACCAATTTGCTTTCAGGTGATGGGGGTTCCTTTGTGAAGACATCAAGTGCAGCCTGAGCAACAATTCCAGAGTCCAATGCCCTCACCAGAGCTTCTTCATCAATCACACCTCCACGGGCCACATTGACAATCCTAACGCCCTTCTTCATCTTTCCAAAAGTTTCGTCGTTGAGCATCTTTGAAGTTGTAGGAGTAAGAGGCATGTGCAGAGAAATGAAATCTGCAGTTGCTATGGCTTCATCAAAGGTCACCAGCTCCACACCAATAGCACGAGCACGGTCTGCAGGAGCATAGGGGTCATGTGCAATAACATGCATTCCGAGCCCCTTGGCACGCCTAGCCAATTCTGTTCCTACTTTTCCAAAACCCATGACAGCAAGTGTTTTCCCAACAAGGGAGACACCCACATACTTGTTCCTTAGCCACTTCCCTGTATCATCCAAATGAAATCAACATCAATTCCTCAAAAACCAGCATATCCAGAAATCAACCGAAAGACAAAAGGATCAAAATCCCTTTCGAGTATATCGAATCCACAGATTTACAAAAGCATTGAGAAAATGTTCAGCATATAGTTAAGGAAGCCCAAGAAAGAAAAGTTACAAACTTCAAACAAAACTTTCCAATCCCCATTATCAAAATCCGATCACCTGACCCTTGAATCATGATAAATTCATATAGTTGCAGTTTAAAACAATCCCATGGATATTTCGAGTTTGATCCCATTAGACAGAGGAAACTTGAATCAAGCGTCAGCAGTTAGCACAGTCAAACCCCTCTCAAAACCCCAAACGCGCCTTCAGATTCTTCCTTGAGATCGTTACCAGCCATCAGAAACATCCAAAGTTCCTCTCTCCTACCGGTCAAAACCAAACTCATCGGTTTTCCCTACGCCGGGAAACGAAGAAAGTTTTGGCCTTTTGCATCTGAACAATCACGAATTGCACTTTTGGGCAAATGAACGCGAAAAACAAGTGAAAAAAAGTGGGATGCCAAAAGAGAAGAGAGGAACAATGGTTCACAATAAATAAATCCACCCAATCAAATCATATAGAATTCTCCATGAGAGCGACCATTCTCGGAAGCAAGCAAAAGGCACTTTTCTATCATCCGCAAAACAAAAAGAACCCGCATAACCAATCTATCATCTGCTCGACGAAATGCGCCAAAGAATCAAACTCAAACAACCAACCAAGAAACCGATCACTAACCTGCTTTAACAGAAGCATCTGCCTGAGCAACATTCCTGGCCATAGCAGCCAAGAGCGCAATCCCATGCTCCGCCGCCGCAACAGTGTTGGCCGTGGGCGCATTCACCACCAAACACCCATGCTCCGTCGCGGCAGCCAGATCCACATTGTCAATCCCAACCCCAGCCCTCCCGACGACCTTCAACCTCCCTCCTGAAGACTCGAACACCTCCCTGCTCACCTTCGTCCCGCTGCGCACGATCAGGGCGTCGCAGAGCGAGATCTTGGTGTTGAGCTCTTCAGGGGACAGGTTGTAGGAGCAATCCACGTTGGCGAACTCCTTGAGGAGATCCAGCCCCGCCGCCCCGAGCTTCTCGGCGACCAGGACGGTGGGCTTGGCGTCGAGCCCACCGGTGGCGAGGACGACGAAGCGGCGGCTCCCGCGGCCGTGGGCGGCGCGGAGGCTGAGGGATGAAATTGAGAATTGAGCGGGGGAGGAGATGGAGAGCGAGGAGGAGAGTTTTGGGTTGAGGGATGGAACGTTGAGGGTGGAGGTGGAGGCGGCCATTTCGGGAGAGAAGGTGGTGGATCCGGCGATTTGCGGCGGCCGGGAAATGGGAGTGGAGAGATTTGGCCTTTGGGGGAGTTGGGAGTGGAGATCTAATTGGGGATTTTATAATTTGTAGTTTGTACAGCTGCGGCTGGGGGAGGTTTGGTGAGGGTTTTTGCCTTTTGGCCTTTTTTGGGTGCACGCGCGCGAGTGGGTGGAAGGATAGTGAAAAGAAAAGGAATAAAACGGAAATGAAATGAAGATTTAATTATTTATTAAGAAATAAAAAATAAAAAGCAGGGTGTAGGTGGCTGACGTGGCGAATGGAGTTGAGAAATTGGAATCTAGATCTGATGCGCAGAATCTACGACTGTGGGCTGATGGGCTTGGTTGGTGAGCCTTTTATCGAAATTGTTCTTTGCTGCCTTTTTTGGGTTGGTGAGTGGTGTGGACTTTTGGGTTAAGCTGCCGTTGTTTTCTATTTTGTCTATTCTTCCAAGTGTTCATTAATCTATATCTATCTAGATAATAAATAAAAGCCGAATGATGAAAACCGTTGCTCCATTTTAAATTTCCTGCAACGAGAGTGATTATAGGAATGACATTTTGGTCTTCACAATTGCTTATTTTTTTATTTATTTATTCATAAAAAAGGCATGCACTAGGATTTGAACCTTGGTCTCTTTAAAGGCAAGCAAGGATCATAACCAATCACACTAAGTATATTTGTTGTATCTATTTAAATTCAAACATACAGGAAGCTAAATTATGAAAATCATATGACTTTTTTAACGATTAGTTGGCCACTGAATCTCCCGTAAGTACTTATTTGGTGTTTTAATACTTTGATTATTTTAGTTGTAGTTTAATACTTAATTTAAATTTCTATCTATTTTATAAATATACAATAACCCTAAAATTGCAGCCCAAATATCACTGGTTCGAATATTGCATATCGAATTGCAATATTAAACATGTAAAAGCAATATCGACTTCTTAAATTAATATTATTTTTCAGAATTACTATGGAGAAATTATATCTTTGTGCAAACTATATGAGACTCGTTCTTTTAATGTTTTAGTCGGGATAACCGCTACATTTTAAACTTCTTCATAATCTGGCATGATTGGATCCAATGATCATTATACAAGATTGTGTTTAATAGGGTGGCTCATTTCACCACTTTTTGGCGTGTTAATGAATTTGTAGGACAATGACAGGTCTACATCTACACTCATCACAATCTACACATCATATAAATGTGAAATGTGAAATGAGAAAAGAGGGATTCCATTTCAAATTTGATGCGTACAGAGCAATTTTTTAGGGGTAAATTTAGAAGATGTCAGTGCGGTCGGTCTGTTGAGCACGAAAGTAAAAATATGTTTTCATTTAAACGGGCTCAAACTGTTATTTGGCCCACTAATCGTGCACTCATCGCCAATGCAGTCAAATTCGGGATTTTGATCGTAAAATCGTAGGATTTTAGGATTTTACTTAGGGATTCCGATCTTGATTTTACTATAAAATCGGTGGACCTTAAAATCGTTTAAAATCGGGACTAAAATCGTTAAAATCGTAAAATAGTACCGAAATCGGGATTTTGATCGTAAGAGAACAAAATAGGTGGTTTGAGCCAATTTAAAATAAGTATAACTGTTTCAGCGGAAAGGGCAATTGAATCTTCTCAGATATTTTTCTATTAGAAAAATATTCAAAAATAATAAAAATAACCAAATTAGGGTTCGGTTAATCTCTTTCCCTTCACCCCATTTAACTTATTGGTAAAACACATGTCCTAATATTGGAAGTATGTAAGAACTAACATCATTATTAACTAATTAATTTATTAATGAATATATTTGTACCAAGCCACTAACATTACTTATTTTATTGGAGTTCAATTATTTTTAGTTTTAAATCATACTTAGTAGACGATGTCGAAATATTACTTTGAGTTAAACAACCTAGACATAACATGAAAATAAGAGCCAAACCCATGAACTATATCCCTTCATCATGAATTATTTTGAGTTACACATTAAATAACAATTAAAATAGTGATTTTGGAGCATTAATCTTGAGAATTATCTTATGGAAAAAAAATCTTCTGAATTATCATTTTAAATGCTATGTGTCTTTGTGATATTAATAATTTACCTTATTAATATTCTTATATGCTATGTTGTATATGGTACTTAAAATCCTACAATTTTACGATTCGATTATACGATTTTGATTTTACCCCAGTTTTCGATTTTAGGTAAAATCTCGATTTTAACTGCTTTGCCCATCGCAGCCTCTCCAAATCTTCCTATTCTACTCGCCGGGTCATCTCCTCCACTACAAAATATCTCCTCATGTACTCAAAGTTCTCACTGAAACCTAATATCTACAACTTAGGCGCAGAGGGAGCAACCGATGGATTGTAGCGACCCCCACTATTTTGATAGCTAATCAAGAAGAGCGCATTTGTTTAGTTGTATGGTGATTCACTTAATTAACAATTTTTATTCCGTTGACAGCCTCCTCTCCGCAATTGTATTGTGTTCATGAAGATCTGAAGGCGCAAGTGCAACAGGTCCAGGGGTAAACAATATGTATAAAGCGTTGGCCAAATTGAATTGAGTCATTCTACTTGGAATATGAAGATTTTTGCTTAATTGCTTTGGTTCGTGATGCTTTTATGTTATGTTTGAAGGTAGACCAACGCAAACAACAACACAGCTCCAGGGCTATTCTGCACATTAGGTAGTTGGGGCATTAATTGATAATTATTTGGGATTATTCCTACAAGTACATAATTTGGAACGTGCCTTTATATTGCATTGATTAATAGTTGTTTGAGATTTTTCAAATGAGTGATTTGACATGTTAAACTCTCTTATTTTTGAAAATGGAGTCTTCGAAGTGGAATATGAAGATTTTGGATTAAGCTTGGTTTCGTAACGCCCTTATGGGTGTTTATTCTCTAAAATGCAGCTGTCTTTCAAAGTGCCCGTTGCAAATGGCAAGTCAGGATACAACGATGGTACCGGTACACGTTTATATCATTAGTAGGTAGCAGATTGTGTCCATTCTACTATATCATTTAGCTAAATACTTAGTTGTTATTTTCAACTAAAAATTATGCTTAAATGCTGTGATTGGCCTCAGAAATGTATGTCTTTGCATTAACTGTTAATGATTGTGAGTTTTGATTTAATGGTGAAAAGTCCATTTATTTAGAAGTATAAATTGGGCAACCCTATTGGACAATAGGAATGCCATACATTAGTGTCGTGGGAGGTTTGTTTGATGTCTCAGGGTGTTAGATTTTTAAGAAGGTTGTTTGTTGTGGCAGAGAGTCCCTAAAGCTAGCGAGGTATTCCTATGTGGGCTTTTTCTTTGTTTGACTTTTTCTCGCCTTTTTTCTTATCTCTTTTTCTATTTTTGATTTTTGTGTGCTACCTTCAGTTGCTACGTCTTCATTTGCGAGCCATCTATACTTTTCTTATTTAGTGCCTAAAAATCATATATACTCGATTGCATAGTAGTTACTAATAGATACATTTATACCAATACAGAGATTTTAAGTTTTATCAGTTGTTAGTTTTAATATTTACTTACATTGGTTGTTTATGTAGTTTTCTTTGTAATATTTCTCATTATACAACTAATTACTATGGCTACGTAATTGTATAAGTGGGGGTTGGACATGATAGTTCTTAGAAGCATCAATACTTGAAGGTTATTATAATGACCAAATTCTAAAGTTATGGTTTGCCTTCAACTTGCTTGGAGCATTTCAATTATGCATCAATTGTTCTCTCCGTGTAGTTAACTCTCAGACAAATCGAAAATCTTGCTGATATGTGCTTGATTGTAGTTAAATTTAGGGTTCTACTGCATTGTTGCTTTACTCTTTTTTCGTGGTTGAGTCTACTTCAAAAAATTTAGTTTGATTTTAGAAAATTTTGCTTCTGCAGTCCTGTCTTGCCACCAACGCGTTCAATAGATGGAGATGGGAGAGGCGAAGACTATTTTTGTGTTGTTGTTGCTGGTTTAGGGATCGGTTTGTGAAGAAGAGGGAGAAGAGAGGGGGAAAGGGAAATGCAGGAGAGGGGGATAACTCTTTTCTCCGACAAAAATGGAGTGAAGAAAGGAATTATGATCAGTAAGAATATGTTTATCTTACATAACGGTCTCTATTCTGTTTGAATTGAGCTTGAGAGGCAGTGATAAGGACGAGCTGCAACCAATTCATAGTGAGAAGAGAGCTATGAACTGTGATCGTGTCTTATTTCAAGTTAGAAGGTAGTTTCAGTATAAGGATTATTTAATTTGACAAGTTGTTTATTCCATGATTCTTGGTAGTTTCAGTGCCATTCTAGCCAATGTTTAGTCTGTAATTTTTGAGAATTGATGTGCGAGTAATGACTTTCACTTAACTTCAACTATTATGTGTGTATTTATTGGCATGTGATAGAATTCTCTTTTCCTTTTCATTGAATTCATTTTCATACTCTAATTGTATTATTTGTACATAGGCAAATCATGCTCGAGATGGCAACTCGCTGATATGGCTGGTGCAAGGAATGAAGCCATCATTAGAATTCAGACCGACAACGGGGAGGGATGCCCAGGACTAATTCAATGATGATTGATGATGGTATAATAAAAACTGCAGTCTGCATCAGCACCAATTTCTAGGCCTAAGTAAATGTATTCAACCCAGAACTCTGCTTAGCGCTAAAAATTTCCCTCACCCAACCTTGATCCTGTTTGACCCACTTCTGAAGAGTCAAGATATATGACTAATCCTCCCCGTTCGTATTTTCTTATTGACTCTTTCTGACCCTGTAGGTTGGGGCGGGTCGGGAAGAATTGGATTAGTGGGTCGGTCCTAATCAAGTGGAATCCCAATCCTTTCACTCTCACTTGCTTTCTCTCCCATTCCACAAGTGGGTAACATACAGTAATCCGGCCAACGGGCCGGGTAATAAGCTAGTTATTAATTAATAAGCAATAACAGAGCTTAGCTCGATAGGGGGTGTAATGTTGTGCACCAAAATATTATGGATGACAATTCAATTGGAACTCGTGGGGTATTCAATATGATCATATTCGTTCGAATAAAATTTGGTGTTGATAAGTTTAAGATTTTGTACGAGTTTTTCCTTCTTTTTGACGAGTTGAATTGTATGCGAATTTTGTCAAAATTAGATTCGCTATTCACTTGATTCGTACACAAAGACGAAAGCAAGGTTGTTTTGCATTTGGTTCTAACTTCTAATAACCATGGTTTAAACATAATTTTATTACAAAAAAATCATTTTACCAACTTTTTAGATGTAACTTCTCGTACGATTTCACTATCATTGGAAAAAAACTGAAGAGACCAAACCATAGAAGCTGCTGCCACCAACTCCTCTGTTCTTCTGGATCAACATCAACAATGCGAATAGTGTACAATTCCAAAAACGCACTCTCTGATAAGATTTAAGAAGATGACGAATTAGGAGATACAAAATTACTGAGGTAAGCATCAGCCAACATTTGGCCCAGCTTGATCTGAGCTTCAGTGCACAGGTGAATGTTGTCTACCTCCAGCTTCAATCCCTTAGCATCCACGCAAATCAAGTTCGCCATCTTCATGCAGAGCTGTGTTTCCCTCACTTTCTCCAGGTACTTAGGTCCTCCCGAAGCCAACGCCACCTATATATACAACTCCACGTGGCACTTAATCAAACACCGGTATCAAACTGAGGAAGAATGACACAAATATTATTTTTTTAAAAAAATTTACCACCAATATGGCGGATTAAAAAGTATTGACAAGTATATTGTGTTTTGGAGAAAAAGTTAGGCGAGACCACGTGAGACTGAGGTGCCACCACCTGAGTCTCAGGTTAATAGATGGGAAGAAAGTCCCAGGTGTTGGCACCTGAGACTGAGGTGTTACCACCTGAGACTGAGGCGTGACCACCTGAGACTGAGGTGGCACCGCGCAGAACAATCCTAATTCTAACCCTAAACCCTAAACCCTGAACCATGAACCCTGAACCCAAAAACAACGAATTTCGTATCAGTTATTCACACCACAAATGGCTAATAGGTAAGAGACATATTTATTTTTTAATTATATTATTCAAATGTTATTATGATTGTGTTTAGTTTAATTAGTGAGTTTTTCTGTAGTGATTTTAGAAGATTTGAACTAGTCGTTTGGTGGAAATCGGAGAAAGTAGAGGAGAATTTGGGCATCAAATTCGTTGGTGGTGGTAGTTTTCAGTTGACGGTTTTTCAAATGTAATAGTTGTGGTTTGAAGTAGTTGTTGTTTTTGAAATAGTTGTTATGGTTTAAGAAGGTTGTTGTAGTTGTTGTTTTTCAAATGTAGTAGTTGTTGTTCTTGGCCAAATTATAAAATGTCCGAGTTGTTGTTTGTTATTTGTTGTTCCGAATAGTTATCGCTAATAACATCATACATGAATGTAAAAATAGTTCAAAGAATAGTCCACATAAATAGTCCACATAATAGTCCACATAACACATAAATAGTCCACATACATATCCCAAATAATAATAACATAACAAAAATACAAAAAAAAAAACTCTAACGATCATCACCACGACGACCACCATGCTGATCCACTAGATGGCCGCCGGTACCACACCTCGCTGGCGCCTGTCTGATGTCCTAGCTGAAATGACGGATTAAACCGGAAGGTCATAGTAGGCCGAACGGGCTGTGATCGCTGTCGATCTGAAATCCGGAGCGGGTTAGGTACATCACGATGCTCACGTCGCTGTCTACGTGGCCTACGCTCCTGTCTGAATTTGTTGTTTATTTGTTATGTGGACTATTTATGTGGACTATTCCTTGAACTATTTTACATTCATGTATGATGTTATTAGCGATAACTATTCGGAACAACAAATAACAAACAACAACTCGGACATTTTATAATTTGGCCAAGAACAACAACTACTACATTTGAAAAACAACAACTACAACAACCTTCTTAAACCATAACAACTATTTGAAAAACAACAACTACTTCAAACCACAACTATTACATTTGAAAAACCGTCAACTGAAAACTACCACCATCAACGAATTTGACGCCCAAATTATCCTCTACTTTCTCTGTTTTCCACCGAACGGCTAGTTCTAATCTTCTAAAATCACTACAGAAAAACTCACTAATTAAACTAAACACAATCATAATAACATTTGAATAATATAATTAAAAAAAAAATATATGTCTCTTACCTATTAGCCATTTGTGATGTGAATAACTGATACGAAATTCGTTGGTTCAGGGTTTAGGGTTCATGGTTCAGGGTTTAGGGTTAGAATTAGGATTGTTCTGCGCGGTGCCACCTCAGTCTCAGGTGGTAACACCTCAGTCTCAGGTGCCAACACCTGGGACTTTCTTCCCATCTATTAACCTGAGACTCAGGTGGTGGCACCTCAGTCTCAGGTGGTCTAGCCTAACTTTTTCTCCAAAACACAATATACTTGTTAATACTTTTTAATCCGCCATATTGGTGGTAAATTTTTTTAAAAAAATAATATTTGTGTCATTCTTCCTCAAACTGATGGCACGGACTAAGAGATTTGAATACCAGACACTCAAATGACGAGACCAAAGATCGGAAAGTCTAATGGTAAAGTCGAGGGATTAATTGTCATAAATTCATATCGACTTGTTTGTCATTAATTATGAAAATTCAAACAACTCGAATTATTGAGATCAATGAGTTTACGACATGGACAGAGCTCGTTACCTGAATGACAGGGAGATCCGGTAAACACAAATCCTCACGAACGTTGTGAATCAGCTTCTCCATGTTACCCCAATACGCGCCCGCGTCACGCTCCGTCGACGTGTCGCTCTCTCCTTGGTACCACAGCAAGCACTTGATGATCTCCGCCGTTCCTCCTCCTCCTCCGGATCTCACGCTCTCTTTCGCTCGCCTCACCATGTTCTCGTACAGCGGTTCCCCACGCGCCCACTCTCCGATCGCCGTCCCTCCCACGGCGCACGGGACCAATCCGATCGCACCGCCACCGCCACCGCCGCCGCATAACCGATCCCTCACGGAGTTCGCGAACGGCATGCCGGGCCCCACCCCGCACGCTTTCCCCGCGTCGATGTCGGCGTGGAGAGGCTCCGCCGCCTCCTCCCAGCGGAGATCGGCGGAGAGGCGGAGGATCGCAGGGTGAGATTCGCACTCCTGCGGCACGATTCCGTCCCAGAGCTTTATGTGGTGGTTGGCGATTACGCCGCCGCGGCCGGCCATGTTGCTCTGGCCCGATAAGATGAAGATATGCGACGGTGAATCCTGCTGTTCGGACATTTCAATTTTCCCGCGATCGTCTTCGTTTCCGGTGAATTGTTGAGTTCGGGAGGATGAAATGATTTTGGGGAAGTAAGAAATTGATTGCATTCGTTGACTTGTGGGTACTATTTGTTATGTTTGCTTTGTAATCATAAATAATTATAAATTTAAAATAGAATCTTTAACAAACAATGTCGTTGTAGTATAGTGGTAAGTATTCCCGCCTGTCACGCGGGTGACCCGGGTTCGATCCCCGGCAACGGCGCCATTTTTTTTTATCACTTCGTTCATAATTTTTGCAGACCAGCACTCCTTTGAGCTGGGTTTTAATTTGTTGGGTCCAGAACCTAAAAACAGTCCAGGCCCAAATAGCATATATCGTGAGGACCCCGGCCCATTGTCCTGACACAGCTGCGAGGAAAGCAAAAAAGAAAAAGGATAGTCACAACTCACAAAGCTACTACTAGCAGTCGGCAGCAGTAAAGAATCAACCGGCGAAAATCCGTTAAACCAATTTCTGTCCGTTTCCTCAGATTCTGAAGTGTGTGGATATGCAATCACTTCTTCTCCCGGCGGTACACGCCGGCGTCTCGTCCGCCATGGCGGTGGGATTGAACCCGTCTCGCCTTCATTTCCGATCACGGGGGCCACTGTTGTCTGCTGATTCCGTGTTACCTTCGCAAAAGCCCACGGCGCAGCAGTGCTCGCCCTCATTTCTCTCCCGTTCGCCGTTAACCTATGATCCTCTTGGAAGCAGGGGCTGCAAGTTATCTTTCTCGTCGAAGATTGCTGCTTCCGCCCCAGTCTCTGCTGCTTACACTTCCCCAACTGATGAATCGGAGAGAGCCAAACTTGCCCAGGTCCGAAATTTCGCCCAATTCCAATTGATATTTTAGCTGGAATCTGAATTTCGTCAGCTTTTGTTCACTATTCTGCTCGTGTAGTTCAGCTATCCAAGTTTGTTGAGGAGCCCAATTCTGGAAAATGCGGTTTTATTTGTTGTCTTTAAGTGATGGGTCGGGGTTTTATTGGTAAGGGGAGTAGTGGGAAACGCTTGAATTGGGTGAATTCTTTGTCTAGGGGCTGAATTTTGATGACCGGGTGAACCTGCGAAAATGTTCTTTGAAGTAGGATGGGAGTAAAGGTTGCAACTTTTGTGCGTGATGTAGGTAGCTAAGAGGTTGGAGAACACATCCAGGCGTTTCAAGCGGTTTGGAAGTATAGGTTTTTGGGGGCAGCTGATTGCCACGGTGGTGGCCGCTGTGATCCTTTCCTTTTCGGTCGTTGCCACTGGCAAAATATCGTCGCCTGCAAGTTTCTATTCAACCGCTGGTGGGATAGCAGCAGCTTTTATTTCAGTGTTCTGGTCTTTTGGGTATATCCGGCTCTCTGAGAAGCTCCGGAGGACTGCGAATGAGCCTTCTAAGGTATTATTTGTTTGTGTTTGATTTGTTGTCATTTCAGAACTGTACATGCTTAAATTGTACTTTCCAAGTAATAGCTTGCAGGCCAAATTGATTGATGGGGGTGATGGAGATAGCACCTTTATATTTGGACCTTGCACCAAATGCTAACCACCTATCTTTCTCTGAATGCTGAGCTAGATCTTTAACTGATCAGCAAAATTGCAAGCAAATTAGTTTCATCATATCTACATTCAGCTCGACCACATAGACCCATGAGTAGTATGCACAGATCCTTTTTTCACATTCTTGTTTTGAGTTCATAGTTTAGCATTCCAAGGGTAACGGTCAATGAGAGAGAGAATAGTTCTTCAGAATGTTTGGGATCACAAGTTTGATCTCTTGATCTTGTTTCATTTTCTGGAGTTGGATATTTTATCTGCATGCTAAGGTAGATATTCTTGCATGGAGTGTCAACTATTGAGCACCTTCCATCACCGATTCACATGGTCTTTTCAGTTTGAAATATGACTTGTATGCCAATACATGAGTTCCCGAATATTTGATTACCACTGCACGGGATCCAGTTACTCATTTTCTAAAAAATTGAATTCTCTGGGTCTGTCTGTTTCATACGCCTCGTGTTTTATCAGTTTCTGTGGGTTTCAGGCACCACCTCGGGCTGAGGTCGTAAAAGGCTTGAGAAATGGCATAATCTTGAATCTGATGGGCATGGGCGCTGCTGTTCTTGGCATGCAAGCCACAGTAGGGACATTGGTAGCCAAGGCATTGACTTCTTCTGCAAACCCTTACCAGGGGGTCTCTACAGGATACAGTCCAGTTCTTGCATTGGACGTTTTCTTGGTGCAGGTATATTGTCTCTCATTGAGCCTGCTTCTCTGCTATATGATTGCTAAGTCATGGTTCCAAACTATGGAATTACCAGGAATATTCATTCCTTTGGCATAAAGTGTTCTTAGTTTTTCGGTTTGTCTTACATCCTAATTATGGTGTTATGCTCTCTCCTACAGGCATCAGCAAATACAATCCTCTCTCACTTCCTCGGGCTTCTCTTCTCCCTAGAGCTGCTGCGATCCGTTACACTACCACCTTCAGAAGCCACTCCAGTACCTAAGCTTGCATAAATCATATGATGTAAACCATTTTCAGGTAGGCAATCAAGAGTTTTTGTCAGGTCGAATCATTGAAGTTTGTAATATTAGAAACTCCAGTTGTGTTCAACGGAATAAGTTCCAGTATGTGTACTTTGCAAACCTAAGAACCTTGCTCGTGAAGTTTGAACTTCCCAGACCTTCAGCCAATGTGCATAAATTGCAATTCTCCTTTCTGCTTCAATATGTGAAAACAGAGAACCTCTATTGGAAATAAGAACAAAAATCATTCTGTTTCTTCAGGAGAGAAAACTTTGCAATATGAAGGTACAGATAACAGAATCCAACAAAGCTATATTTTTTGACAAACTCAATTCAAACATAACAATCAATCAAAGCTTTTAATATGTTACATATGATAGAATATACATACATACATGATTCATATACTCACCAAGACATTAACAATATCTCTATATACAAAACCAGAAACTTTGATACCACACACACAAACAATCAATTGTGAATTCAATTAGCATCAGACCAGGTGATATCCAGATCACCCCAATCACTCTCCGCCACACCCAACGCCTTCCACACCGCCTTCGACGCATCAACAATGTTGTTAGGACAAGGAGGCTGGTAATCATGATCAGAATCACACCCCATGGTGGAGTCACATTCATCCACCACCATGGCCCTAGCTGTCTTCCCATTCCCATGAATGTTGATGAAGTTGAGACACCTGCTTTTCTTGTTGAACCACCCCGTCGACAGAGCAACGATAGGCTTGTCGTCGGAGTGGAACTGGTTGTCGCACTCGGATGGTGCTCCGCCGCTGCCCCCTGCCTCGAAGCTGTTCCACGTCAGGGTCGCCTTGGTGCTGGCGGTGACCGGAGGGGAGCATTTGTAGGTGGTGTACTGCTTGCCGGTTTTGCAGCAGTCGGATTCCTCGCCTTGGTTGCATTGCCCCGGTGGCGGAGTGATCCCTGTGATGTGGCCACTTGGCTTGCAGGTCTGGCAGTCCACGTAGGTCGCAGCGAGGGCGAGGATGGCGATGAGGAGAAGGATTGGGGAAGAGGTTTGGCTGGTGATGTTCATCATTGTGGTTGTGTGTTTTGGAGTCTGTAAGTAGTTGAGATGTGATTGTGTTTAGGATGTGAGGAAGGTGGATTCGGTTCAGGGACATTTTTATAGGCTTAAGCTGCTGCACAAGGAATGTTTTGTGTTGGAGGCAGGACAAGATTGCCGCCATTGTGGTGGTAAAGAGTGAAAGCAACTGAAGCAGCGTGAAGTGCACGAGGTAACTGAAGAGAGAATAAAAGGAATTCTAATCCATCAGCTTCTGAACCATCCTGAGGTTGAAAGTTTTTCTCCTGCTTCTGAATGGATTGGCGTTTCTCCAAAGCTTCTTCGACCGGGTTTCGGACGGCTATTCTCTGCGGATTCTTCTTTTTCCAGTACACAAGTGTTCATGAAAAAAAATATATCACCATACCAATTACTAGGGGTGGGCATTGGTGCGGTTGGAACCGCACCGCACCATATTGATACAACTCGCAGCGCACCGCATGTTATTTGGACCGCATTGCATATTAGACTGCAATTTAGTCGGTGCGGTCAAAGCAAATCGCTTAAATATGCGATTTGGTGCGGTCCAAACCGCACCGCATATTAGACCGCAAAGTAATATGGATTATGCATAATTGAATTGACAAGTTTCAATTCATTTTCTATACTCATGATGCGTAATTGTAAGGAAAACAAAAAATTTGAATCCTACCGAATAATGACTAATTATATATATGAATCATATTAGTTATTTTTCTAATGACTTAAACACTCGAAATTATTAATTTGAATCAATTTTGTAGGAAAGTATTTAAATAAGCAGTGCAACATCGAGAACAGGACAAGAGACATAATAACATACTGCCTCTGAACTGAAGGAACCCATATGCAAACACTCCTGTGATAAGGTGCCAGAGCAGCCATGGATGGAAATATGTGGACCTTGGCCTAGAAGGATCAAAATTGGCTCCGTGTAGAACTAGATTACTATTGGAGGACACTCGGCCCACAAGTTGTGCCTCGGCCCATCATCGGTCTGCAGCCCAGCATTGTAATCCGCCAGCTACATGCGGACGTGCCTCAAACCATAATGTAACCCTAGTTGATAGACAAGAAGGGTATATAAGTTTGTGTACGGCCGTTGGCCAAACTACTGAGCAATAACAATATCACACAAACTGGAGAGGTTTCCTCTCCCGTGGACTAGTCCCGTACATACGGGGATACCGCGTACATCGATCGTGTCGTTACGTTTCCGCACTAATCTCGTTTTTCTCATGGTATCAGAGCTGTGAAGCTCGATTTCAGGTTGCAATCATGGCCGGTGATGATTCTTCTCACTGGCGAGAAGTCCCCCCAATCTGCCAGCGGTGGTTCTGGCGGCTCTGGCGGTTTTGGCATAGATGTTCTCAGTCCCTTTTTTGTTCACCAGTCCGATAGCACTGGTCACCTCCATGTCAGCAGTCCCCTGACACCCACCAACTATGCCGAGTGGGTATTGGAGATGACGGACGCTCTTGTCACCAAGCACAAACTTGGTTTCGTCGATGGTACCTATCCCCGCCCTGAAACTGGGTCCGCTGACCTCCAGCAGTGGGTGCGTTGCGATGCTCTTGTCAAGGGGTGGTTGCGGACGGCTATGGATGCCGAAATCAGGAGTAGTGTTATGCACGCGAAGACGGCACAAGAAATTTGGGAAGATCTTCGCGATCGGTTCAGCAAAGGAAACCTAACGCGCGCCTATGAGCTCCGGCGCAATGTGAGTTTCCTCCAACAAGAGAAACAAACAGTTTCGAGCTTCTATGCTAGTCTGCGCAAAATTTGGGAAGAAACACAGGCTATACTTTCGCCGCCTTTGTGCTCCTGTGGGCGTCGCGGGAAGGACCAAAACGAGAGTCTTCGTTTACTTGATTTTCTACTTGGCTTGGATGACTCCTTTGCCACGGTTCGGAGTCAGATTCTGTCCATGACTCCTGTTCCCACTCTCCCGGAAGCTTTTCGCATCGTTTACAACGATGAGCAGCAGCGATCATTGACCCAAAATCGCAAGACCACACCTGAGACTGCTGCGTTTGCCACGCGAGGTGAGGCGGATCGCCTTGGCGTCGTGCCGCGCGGAGATCAACGTGGAGAGCAGCGCGACGATCGTCGCGGGGGTCGTAACTCCAATTCCGGCTCCCGTGATCGTTCCTCTGGCAAACGCGAGCGCATCGTCTGCACGCACTGTCAAAAGGTGGGTCACTCACGAGAAACCTGTTACGAACTCATCGGCTGGCCGGCTCGTGACAAATCAAGTGACCGTGATCGTGGTGATAGAAGTGATCGGGGCCAGCGGCGGCGTGACCGTGATCGTGAGGGCAGCAGGCCTCGTGAGCCTCGCGCCTCTCAGGCCGAGTCCCCTAATCCGACTTCCGGGTTTACTGCCCAGCAGATTGAGCAGTTAAAACAATTGTTCGGCAACTCCTTCCATGGCCCGACCGATCCCGTCAGTAATATGGCTGGTATGTTCTCTACCTCTATTGACTCTGAGTGGCTCATTGACTCAGGTTGTAATGAGCATATTGCCATGCATGAGTCCATATTTTCCTCTTATGATTCTGGTTATCAAAGTCCCCCCGTTCGTATTCCCAATGGCTCCAGTATTCCGGTTAAGCGGATTGGCACGGTGAATTTTGACTCTGGTCTTAACTTGGGCCGCGTCCTACATGTTCCTGAGTTTCGTTGCAACTTATTATCTGTCAGTCGTTTATGTCAAGAGCACCGTGTGGCCTTAATCTTTATGGGTGATTTCTGCGTCATACAGGACTTAGTCTCGAAGAACGTGATTGGGAAGGGGGAACTCCGTGAAGGTCTCTATTATCTTCGTTTGTTTGGTTGTCGGCAGGTTGAAGCACATGCAGCTGCTGGCGGCCCATCCGAGAGCTTACTTCATGCTCGGCTTGGTCATCCTTCACCAGGAAAGATGGACATGCTGCGTCCTATTGTTTCTTTTTCTCGGTCACCAGATACAGTTTGTCATTCTTGCTCTCGTGTGAAGCAAGTTCGGAATTCCTTTCCTGTTAGTTCTATTCGTACGACAGCTTGTTTTGAGTTATTACACATGGATATTTGGGGAGGCTATCATACTGCATCCCTGAGTGGTGCGCACTATTTCTTAACTATTGTTGATGATTTCAGTCGTGGAGTTTGGGTTTACCTTCTTCGTTTCAAATCCGAAGTTAGTCGGTATGTGCAGATGTTTTGCCAGTTTGTCTCTACTCAGTTTGGTTGTCAGGTTAAGCGTATTCAGGCTGACAATGGGCTGGAATTTCAGTGTCATGAGCTTCGACGCTACTATGAGCAGCATGGCATTGTCTTGCAAACCTCGTGCACTGACACGCCGCAACAAAATGGCGTTGTCGAACGGAAGCACCGTCACTTGCTTGAGGTTGCACGTGCCCTTCGTTTTCAGGCCTCTTTGCCCATTCGGTTATGGGGTGAATGCATCCTTACTGCTGCCTACTTGATCAATCGCTTGCCCACTGTTGCTACGGGCAAAACTCCTTTTGATGTTCTCTTTGGCAAACCCGCTTCTTATTCACACTTACGGGTTTTCGGGTGCCTTGTTTACTGTAAGGACACGCATGCCAGTTTGGAAAAATTTCAAGAACGGGGGAGAGCCTGCGTATTTTTGGGCTATGCTGCGACCCAGAAGGGTTACCGGGCCTATGATCTTACCACCCGGAAAGTGATCACTAGCCGCGACGTCGTTTTTCACGAGACAATCTTTCCTTTTAGTCCCTCTGTGTCTACTGACTTTACTTGGGTCTCTCCGCAGGTGTTCACTCGGCCTCACTTTGATGATGATGAATTGGTTGCTTCTGGCCCGTCTGCGCCTCGGCCCACTGCACTTGAGCCGGCACAATCGCCTCGGCCCGTCACACCCGATGACCAGCCCTCTCAGTCTTTGGGCTCGCCGGCCCAGCCGACCTCGCCTGCCCAGTCTCCTGCTTCTCCTCCGCTGGGCCCCCAGTCCCTAGCCCAACCGACTGAAGAAGCTAGTGCCCCTCTGCCCAGCTCGCGCGCGTCCCAGCCAGCTGAGCTTCGCCGCGGCACCCGCGATCGGGTCAAACCCCGCCATCTTGACATCTACTATACAGGCCACGATGCCAATGCAGTTCGATACCCCCTTTCATCTCATATTACTTATGATCGTGTAACCCCTGCTTACCGTGCCTTTGTTGCAGCAGTCGCTTTGCACACTGAGCCTCGCACGTTCCAGCAGGCTATGCTTGATGAACGCTGGCGCCGAGCTATGCGCATTGAAATCGAAGCTCTTGAGAAGAATGGCACATGGAGTCTGGTTTTTCTCCCTCCCGGGAAACGTGCCATTGACTGCAAGTGGGTTTATAAAATCAAGTTTCACCCAGATGGCACTGTTGAGCGATTTAAAGCTCGCCTGGTCGCAAAAGGTTATACTCAGATTGAAGGTGTCGATTTTCATGACACTTTCGC